AAGACGTGTTTGGGAAATACATATATTCAGATAGACTGTTCAAGATGAACGAACACTATTGAAAGAGCATTTAAGAAGAGCTAACGCCGTTATTTCTGAGGATGTTAAGATAATTTAAGGGAAGATGGCTGAAATAAACCATTTAAGATGACTTTTCCCTTAATAGTAACTAAAAAAAAATTATTTTTTTTTTTTTTAAATTTTATTTTTACATTTTTCCCAGATGTCCTAGATGTGATGGTGGTGCTACGAGAATGCGAGGCCGCATTCCATCAGGATGGACGAGCAGTTGTGGGATGGTATCGTTCATTATAATCAGATAACACGACAAGCTGTGAGAATAAATCTTTTACTTTCTCGATGATAGAAGGCAGACGATTCCGCCATTAAGACGATGACGTGATTAAAAGATGTTTAAATGTAAAAGATGATTCCTTCTCTTCATCTGTAAATAATCTCATCTATTTCCTTCTACGTATGTAATTACTTTGTAGTTTGTTGCAACTATTCATGTTTCATTAAATATTCAAGTTTTACATAAATCGGACTAGTTTATTAGCCCCCGGACAGCCACCTAAGAAGTAAGTTTACAAACATCATGTTCCTGGACAGTAAGTTCTGATTCTACATATATATATATGATATTTCTACATCAAAGTTCAGGCATGGTTTTTGCAGAGTGGTAAGACTAATCCAAAAAATTGATTTAGCTTTTAATGGACATCTTTATTCCACAACTTTAATTCAATTTTTAACATAGACCATGTTTTACTTCGTATGAAATTCTCTAAATCACATATTCAATAGTAGTTTAAACCAAGTACGACTAAAGTTAAACTTTATGCGTCATAACTATATTTCTAACAAAGGAAAGATAGATCAAGCAGCAGAGAGATGTATAGCACAGGAGAAGAGGCGAGCTTCTTATGACGCAAAATGATGCGCATTCGTTATTTATAGTAGTGGTTACATAATAGGTTAGCAAATTCTAGAAGGTACTGGTCTGGGGGAAGGATCCTGAATTGCAGAAAGTTAATTAAAGGTTGTGTGTTTGCGTAGAGCAAAGCCATCGTATTTTATATTTTACATCACCATCCTCCCCTCAAAAACAAGAGGCCGGGTGAGCAAAGCATTAGTAGATTAGTAAGGCAAGAAGTATGAGGAAAGACATGAAGAAACATCCAGGACAGCATACAGGCTTTAACTACATCCTATCATAAATCATGATCTTTTCTCAAATAATTATAAAGTTTTGGAAGTATACAATTGTACAATGATTTCTAAATAAACATATAACTAAATTTTATATGGAATAATAATAATAAATAAATAACTGTGTGATATTTCGGCATCAAAGTTCAGGCATGGTTTTTGCAGAGTGGTAAGGCTAATCCAAATGAAGAGGCAAGTTGATTTAGCTTTTAATGGTACATCTTTATTCCATAGCTTTAATTCAATTTTTAAAATAGATCATGCTTTACTTCATATGAAATTCTCTAAATCACATATTCAATAGTAGTTTAAACCAAGTACGACTAAAGTTAAACTTTATGCGTCATTACTATTTCTAACAAAGGAAAGATAGATCAAGCAGCAGCAAGATGTATAGCACAGGAGGAGACACGAGCTTCTTCTGACGCAAAATGGAACACATTTGTTATTTATGTTAGCGGTTACATAATAGGCTAGCAAATTCTAGAAGGTACTGGTCTAGGGGGGAAGATCCTGAATTGCAGAAAGTTAATTCAAGGTTGCGTGTTCGTGTAGAGCAAAGCCATCGTATTTTTTTATATTTTACATCAATAAATTTCTTACTTTAAGTCTTTGCCTATAATTTTTCAGCACCTTGTAAGGATTATGTTAATTTATCTAACAGTTAAATTTTGAGTTAAAGTTCCTTTCCTGTCTTCCTGAATTTCAACTTAACAACTTCCAGCCAGAACATAGTTTTAGAATCACGTTTGAATGCAAATGAGGAGAAGTATTTAACCATGAAGTTCTACTAACTTCGGGAGAGAGAACCAGTAATTCTAACTAGTGCACATTCACATTTTAAGGCTATTCTCTCTTAAGCTATTATCACGCTTGGCCGTACTTTAGGCCCTTGATAGCTTTGCTGTTATTCAGCATTAAGGGGCCAACTCTGTTAGAATTTTTATAGCTTTGGCTATATCTTTTTATTTAAGATTAGTTAAGTTAATTTCTTAGCTTTTGAGTTCAAGTCTGAGTGGAGGCTTTATTGTAACACTCCAAGGAGGAGTTTTGTGAAATTAATTTGGAATAATAAAGGGTCTTTAACCATTCTCAAGTTTTATTTACTGTCTCACAAACTCAAGCGATTATTCGCTTACCAGTTCTTAAGGTTCTGCAACTTTAACTTAAAAATACACAGCATAGAATCTTACAACCTTAATGCATGAAAATACTAGGCATGATTATGTTATTTATTTTTAAAATTGTTTTTATATACATATATATAATGGAAATTAAATTAAAATAAATAATATGTATAAAATTAAGCCCATATTCAATTTGGAATAAATCATATGCAAAAATCAGAAGCATAGTGGCAGACTGCAAGAAAAGGGGAACATAACAAAAACAAAAATGAAATAAGATGGTAATCTCTTATTCTTATTTCTTTCTGCTTCTGGTTTTTGCACATTTCTCCACTTGTTGCTGCTTTCAGCATGCAATTAGATTAGGTTTTGAACCACCAAACCACCTTTTTACTTTTTATTAATTTATATATATAGTATATATATATATACAATTTATATCAGAAATTGTATATATATAGTATATATATATATATACAATTTATATCAGAAATTGGTTAAGTACCAAAGGAGTGTATATATGTGACAGAACATTTTACATGATCAAGCAGCATTATTAAATGATATTTTTTATGTATATGCAGTTGACACTATATCATCTCTTTAAAATATGCATGGCACTAAGACATACCATGAGAGATCTTGAGTTTTTAACACATCACACTGTCCTTTCATTATTAAAATTGCAGCACTGTATTCCTGGATCACTTTTAGATCCATCCTTTGTCATATTTATAGTTATAAAATGAATGCAAGACTAAAACAATTTGGTTTAAAATTTACTGACAAACCAAACTGTATCTCTGATTTCTGAAAAACACTGACCTGTTTCAATATGAACAAGATATGTTTTTAATACAATGGCACTATTCTTCAGACAACTGTTATTTTCAGCCTTGATGCTCTCTGTGTGAAATGCTCTTTTCCACCCAAAACAATGGATTGTGCACAAAAAGAAAGGTTTGAAGAGCCCAAGTGCAGTAACTGCCAAGAACCGCACATTGCTTCTATAATGAGTGTGTTGAATTCCCTAAAAATAAGCCCAAACAGAGTAAAAATACCAGCTGTGTTAAGCCAGGCATCTCATAAGCTGACATATGGCCAAGAAAGAGGCTGCTACACTCACCCCAAACACCAATGCTTACTACTTGTCACTCAGCTGCTGCTGTACCTGCCAAGTTGGTTAACAATCCTAATTATAATAACAGTAAATCATTTAAAATTTTAACTAGCACCAGTGATATAAATGGTAAAAATCAAATTTTGGAATTTCTTACATTTTTTAAAAAGATGAATGAAATAAATGAAATTTTTGGAAAAGATGAATGATTGCCACACCTCGCTGGCTAGTGGTTACACCAACATTTCAAGATTATCCTTTTCATGACGTTGGACTTTCCCATGCATTTTTCTCTCCTTTTTGTTTCACCTGGTTACCATATGATTTGCTACTTTAGTTCCCACTAACTACACTATGGAGGTATATCTTCATTTGGATGACTTCATGATTTGGGAAATGGCTACTGCCTTTCCCTCTCTTCCATCATGTTAGCCATATTTCAATGTTATGTTCATATCCCAACGCAGGATAGGGCAACTGCCAGGCATCTGAACTTGTGATTGTGCTCACCCAAGGCATTTGTTTTTAATTTTTTAAATTAAAAGAATTTAAGATTTTGTTACTAATTATGAAACTTATTTAATGAACTTGGAATTAATGATTTTCTCAGTCTAACAATTTTTTTGAATTTAGCATACACTTATTAAAAAATTTTTAATGTTTAAAATGCTTTCGTGAAAATCAACCAGTTCAGCAAACAATCATCATCAAATCGTGACTGAGTTATATTCACATGCAAGCTGGAATTATTCTTCCTTCAAACACAAGGATACTAGTGCAGTTTTTAACCCTCGTTTTAAGTATACTACAGCAATATATAAGCAAACAGTGGACTTGACACTGAAAGCAGCAAGATGAGATGGAATAAACTATATTTTCAAACACTCTCCCTGATTTACAGGCTAAAGAGGAAAGTTCCTATAAAATAAATAAACGATTCAAATTTCTAAAAAACTGATAAAAGAAATTTGGAGATTGAAAAACCTTTAAAACAAATACAAACACATTTAACTTAAACTCCGCTCCTAAATAATAATTTATCAACTTAAAAAGTTGATAAATAAATTTCTAAAGCTATGGCTTTGGACTATTTATATAAAATGTCTTCCATTTGTTGACTAAAATGAAACTATCAAGCTGTTTTAAGTATAAAATTTTAGCGCATATTTGCATACTTGTTATAGAATCTTCTGCTTTATTGAATAATTTTGATTTAAAAAATTGTACTATCAGTGCAAGGTTTTTCATTAAATATGGATTCAAATATATTTTAATTATGTTACCCAGGAAACTTAAAAATACCTTTAAGGTACCTGTGCAAAAATATTAATTTTATGCATTGCAATTAAGAATATTCTTTTAAAATTTTAATACAAATAATTTATACTAGCATAAAAAGCTGAATATTACTTGAATTCAAGAAATTACATCTTAAACGTATTGAAACGTCTGGAACTTTTATGAATTAGAAGTGAATCTATATAACATTTAACTAAAAGGACAATGTGAGAAATAAAGCAATGATGCATTACTGTACTTACCTCAGTTGATTATGACCTAATGGATTATTGTTTAATTTTAAAGTTTGCAAATTTACAAGCCTTCGCATCTGAGGTGGGAGGGATTCTACAATAACATACAATGAAGGGGAAAAAAAAAAAAATTGAATGAAGACACACAATAAAAATTATAAATAACAATACAACAGATTTAATATAAATAAAAGCTGTGATCCAATATTATTTTGAAGAGTTCATGGATTTAGCCATAATTTCTAACAATTTAAAGCATGAATGCTCAACTAATATTTTTCAAAACATAAGCATCCCAAGATACAAAATGCTCATATCCACTCTGCTTGGCTATATGTCATGTGATATACTGACAATGTCACTATCACACTGGCATGCTTCATAATATTCATTTAAGCACTATTTCTGACTTCCCACCAATTATTATAATATAGGTTAAAAATAACTTCAAACCACATTCTTTGAATTAATACATAACAAATTATTTTAAATATGCAATTTAGTATACATATTTCCTTTTGATTCTTAATTTGTTCATAATTCTTTAACTGAGAATGAAAAACTACATGCTTAAGTATTATGCAAAACAAAACCATCTGATTAATTTTGACCCCAGAACCAAAATTAAATATTTTCTCGTGTAATCATAACTTCCCTTTGGAAATCAAAATTTGATTTAAAACTATAATGTCTGAAACATATATATCCAACAAACTGGAAAGCAGCATATTATAAAAAGGCAGACTATGCATATTAATTGTAATAAACAAAATATCATATTAGCAGCTGACCCTGATTTCAAGCTTACTTAGAAACATATCTACACATACTATGCAATTATGGCATAACTCAAGAAATGTTATGGACATTTTAGAGAAAAATTTCCAGCTGTAGTAAATCATTTTCATTTTGGCAAAATCAAAATATTTAATTTCTGCAAAAAACAGGTAGACCTACACCTAGATCTAGTTAGGGTCTCCAGTTCAAAGAACACTAATGTCAAGATGAAATTTACCTTGTGACATTTAATAAATATGTAATATCAAATTGTAAAACAGCATTTCAACTTCTGAACTTGAGATTTCTATTGTCAAAATTCATACTGCTTGATTAGAAAATGAACAAACTGGTAAGTGCACGGGATGCTGAATCAGGAAATGAAAACTGGCTGATTAAATTTTAAGGAATCCACTTGATTATTTAAATGAACAAAACAAATATCTCAAAGTCCAAAAGCAATTGATGAATGACGTTTTAAAGAGTAGGAGCATTTGAAATTAAATTAAAATTGTATAATCTTGCAAATAAAAACCACTTAAATTTCTTCTAGAAAAATCATGTAAACAGTAAAAGATATATAAAATTGAATTCAGTTGTCATCAGATTTACTTGGTAAATCTGCAAATGAAATGCATCTAAGTCGCAACTGCTAAGAGAAAAAATTTCAGCATTTTATGAACATTTTCTATTTATGATGTTCACATTTTGAGAAATGTAGATTTGTAATTAATATCCCTTCCAAAAAAATAAGCATCTTTTATAACTAAACAAAAAGTTTTTAAACAGTTTTATGTTATGGCTTTTAGTAAATTTAACATATTAAATTTGGCATATAATCCTTAGCAAATCTTTATACAGACATGGAGTCTACTAGCTCCAAAATGTTGGACACTCATGATTTAAAGATATTTGGCACATTTTACTACAGAATATCAATATTCTTTATGACAATTAAAAAGTAAATTGTACAGGCTAGACCCGGCATGCCAAACTTGTGGCCTATATGCAGCACTCATGATCCTCTGTTCTCTCTCAGAAAATAACAAAAATGCATAATCATAATGCATTCATAAAAATTGGAATTTCGCTGAACATCGAATAATATATAAAAAAAAATTTGCAAAAATAAATAATAATAATAAAAAATATCTTTACCCCCAACCCAAATACTTTCTCAACCAATGTTAACAATGTGCTCGCCCATTCACAGATGGAATTAACAGATATGCAACATGCCTCTAAAGCTAAAATTCAAGAAAGTAGGTACACCCAAATTTAAGAATAATTATCTGCACAGCTCTCAGAAAGGTGCAAATTTTGCATTGTACATGATTTTCATGTACAGTAGTACATACCAGAGTGCACAGCTTTTCTTACTTACAAAAGGATAAATTCTTCAGCAAGATTCAGGTTAACAGAAATTCAAATTACCTCTGTTGTGAAAATTGCTAGTGGGAACAGAATGCTTCTAGACATCCAAAAGCTGGCTGTAGGAAAAACATGCAGGTGTCAGGAAAGAAACAAGATATTCATTTACTACCCAAATTTCCTCAAGTTCCATTTTCCCCCTTTTTTGGGGGGAGGATTTTAGCATTAGGTAAGATTTTATGCAATTATTTATTTTTAAACTCATTACACCATTAAGTATACCATTAAGTATAAATGGCATTTTGTTTCTTCTGGTCTATACTATTGTACACTGCTGACTGTCTGAAGACTTAAGATATTCAGTTCAAGTTGAATGACATATCTGAGCTAGACAATGTTACATTTTAAAGGTTCATTTGTATGGTCCTATTACAAAAAAGTAAGAAATCAGTCAGGTTAATTAAAATTTTATATAGTTTTCATGAATTCTTATATATTGGGTATACAAATAAGTTTTGAGGGATTTACATAAGATGGCGTTACCAGTATTAAATCCTATCGGACTATCTAGTAACTATACTCCTGTCAAAACGCCAGCATTTCCGTCTAAAAATCAGTCTGTTTCATTTCGCTGAAATGTAAACAACAAATTTTCTTTGTGCTTAACCCATGTCAACCTTTGTACCAACAAAACAAAATTTGTGGGAAGCGATTCTTTTTCTTTTAATTTGAAGAAAAGTGCAGTTGATGGACATCAATAGCTGTGTGAAGCATATGGGGAACATGCTCCATCAATAAAAACATGTGACCAGTAAAGTTTGAAGACTCTGTGCTGGAAGGGTTATTGGACAAAGATACATGCCAAACTCAAGAGGAGCTCGCCCAAACCTCGGGAGTAACTTAACAAGCGATTTCAAAGCATCTTAAAGCTATGGGTATGGTGCAAAAACAAGGAAATTGGGGTCCATCTAAACTCAAGCTCATAGAGACTTTGAACACTGTTTTTCATATGCATACAACTGCTCTAAAGGCAAAATTGGTAGAGGTTTTAGGCAGCAAAGCATGATGGGGGACAAAAAATTGTCTACTCAAAACACAGAAAAACGTAGGGTAAGCCTGGCCATGCATCAATTTCAACAGCCAAAGTGAAAATTCATGGCAAGAAGCTAATGCTGTGCATCAGGTAGGATTAGCTCCGAATGATCTATTATGAGCTACTTTAGCCTTATGAAACCATCACTGGGGAATGTTACAAACATCAGTTGATGCAACAGAGCCGAGCATTGAAGCACGAACACCCCCAATATGCCAAAAGACATGACAAAGTTATCATTCAGCATAATGCTCACCCACATGCTGCAAAAGTCGGTTCTTGGATCGCCTCAAAAAACGAGGAATTTTTTAAACGTAAAATCCATATGCTACCTGAAAGATGGGGAAAAGTCATAGCTAACGATGGGCAATAGTTTGAATAAAATATATTCTTCCAATTTTTCTGAATAAAGCTTCAAAGTAAAAAAAAAACTCAAAACTTATTTGTACACCTAATGTTATATAATAATACATGCGGTACGGAGTCTGGAAACCGGACATCTAATACCTGGATCGCCACCTAAACTTTTTTGTTTTTAGAATTTTTCCCTCCTTTACAAAGTCTAAAATTGGAGAATACTAAGGGAGGGAGATGTGGCATAAAAGCCATTTTTCTTACTGAGATTTCTGTATGCTGCTTTCAAACACCTGCTGACTATGGAACCATATCATGTCCAGTGGGACTACCTTGATCAACATTAGCTATGATCATTAAGTGGCCTTTGAGTGGTTGTGAAGGGGAGTTCAATGTTTTTTCCTTAAACCTAAAAAATAAGTGGAGCCCCAAGACATATTTGTTTTTTTAGGATGTTGCTCATACTGATTTCTTTTGTTTGCATAGCAGCGAGAAAGACAGAATTATATTTTGAAGAACTTGAATTCAGTAAACATAGCACTGTCCTTTCTTTAATTTTTTAATTTGTTCCATATTATTATTTTCACAGGCTATTCTTACTACAGCTATCTTATCAAAATTAAAGTCTGAATTTTCAATTATATTGAAAAGAGTTTCCAACTCTGGAGTTGCAGTAGAATCTGCTCAGTGAAAGCATATTTAAGACTTGCCTCTTCTATATCACTATTGATGAGAGAAAATAGCATTGCTACATTTCAGGGTTATGAAAGTGCAATTTCAAAAAACAATCTTATTTTGGCATAGATTCTGAATGCTTTAGAAGGTAAAATTTTCTAATTAATGGAACTTTCAATGAAACACAAACAGTGATCATAAATAAAGATTATATAACAGAAGTTTTCAACTGCGATGAAAATGCCCCAATCAACTAATAGATGACGAAACCTATAATATGGTTTTAAATTCAGAAAATAACATTATTGATATTGAAGAAATTGAAAATGATATTTTGACAATGAAAAGATTTTGATTGACAGTTCAGTGAGAAATCCTGAATAAATCAAACATATAAATATTGAGTTGTCTTTGTAAATTTTAAAGCCATAAATTTGTCATTATTTAATAAAAAAAAACTATTTGATATTTTTAATTTTACAATCTCTTCATATCATCTTACAGATTTAAACTGACGAAGTAAAATCTGGAAATTTCAAAAATCATTGGAGCCTGACAATTCTGGACCTTGGAAATTGTGCTGCATAATATTATACAGTACAAAGTCCGGACATTCGGACTACCAGCATTTCTCCTCTTAAATTTTAGAAATGAAGAACTTTTTTTTTTAAAGGTATTTTTCTCAGACTAGGAATAAAAGAATTTTTCTCCATACTAACTGAGATTCCTAGAATGACACATTCAAATGCTGGTTAAAGAATTAAGAATGTGGCCAACGACAATACATTGATTGACGTTAGCCACAACCTCATTTTTGGCTCTTAAGCGGTTGTGGAGGGAAGTGCAGCCGATCTAAGTGATAAGTAAGGCTCCAAGACATATTTGTTTGCAGGAGGGATATTGCTCACACTGGTTTTCTTTTCATGACATAGCAGTGAGGAAGTGAGAAATTTGAAGAATTTAAGATAAAAAAACAGCAAATTTCACTTTTCCTTAACTTTCTATTTGTTAAGCTATTATTATAACAGCTGTCTTACCAAAAAAAAAATGTTTAAATTCTCGATTATATCATCTGCAAAATGAAAGTGTATTTGCCTTCTATAGCAACCACAGTGAAAGAAAATGGTGTTGCCACAATTTAGGCTTAAGAAAGTGAAATTTCAAAATTAGTACAAACATCAGCTTATTTTGACATAGATCTTGAACACTAAAGAAAGTGAAATTTTCCAGTAAAAATGAAGAAATGAGAAGTAATAATACCGTAATTTCCAGAAGAAACACTACGGCGTTTACATATTTAAAACTTAAATTTTCAGCAAGTGCGGCATTTGTACCCATACGGCATTTAGGTGCACTAAAAATAAAATATTTTCTATGATAATCATTGTACATAGTTTGGATGGCCTTGTCACTGTACACAGAGACTGTAGCTGTTCCCACACAAAAGACCACTCAGTTGATTTTTGCGAACGTTATTTTGTTTACATTCTTTCCCTTGAACGGACCTACATGCCTTATTCAACCTAAACGGGATCTCAGAACAATAACATTCTTCCCCCTTTCAAATCAACATTCTCATCAGTTTGAATATTCTCTCTATTCTGCCATTCGATGAATCTTCCAGGATCCATCCTCTCCCCACCCCTGCCTTTTCTGCAATTTTTTTCAAAGGCGGACACGACTCCACCTGCCTCGCAATAACAAACTCTGACGTATTTCCCCTTCAGCATGAATCGATTTTTCTTGGCATTCTGCCAGATACAGATCCCATCAGTTTGGGTACAAGTACTTGTTGAATAGTTTTTAAGTAAGAAGGGAGTGGAAAATGTTTTTAAATGGTACCTAAATGGCACAGAAGCTATGCTGGTTTTAAGCTTAATGTACTTTCACGTGCTGAACAAATTGGCAATAGAGCAGCAGCTCGAGAGTTTGAAGTGGACGAGAGATGTATTCGACATTGGAGAACTGAAAAAGAACTGCTTAAAAATATGCCACAACAGAAACGAGCGAAAAGAACTGGTACTGTAAGGTGGCCTAATCTAGAGGATGACCTTGCAAACTGAATAAAGGAGCAACAACGAAAGGGAATGGCAATTTCAACTGTAAAAATTTGCTTACAAAAGCAAAATTTATAGCAAAACAAATGAACATAAATGATTTCTAAGGAGGGCCTTGCTGGTGTAGCAGATTTATGAAAAGAAAAAATATTTCTGTGTGTACTACTTTTCTAAAATATGTGACAGATATTATTGACAAAAAAAAAAAACTTCTTCAGTCACAAATAATAAATATATATGAAACGGCATTAGCTTTCGACTCTCCTGCAAACAGAACTGTTGATGAAACTGGTGCAAAAACTGAATCTGTGCTTACGATGGGGCATAAAAGAACGTCATTTACATGTGCGTTAGCTTGTGCCGCAAACAGTGACAAGCTAAAGCCGATGATCATTTTTAAACGAAAGACTATTCTGATTTTCCTAATGATGTAATTATTTGTGCAAACGAGAACGGCTGGATGTGCGAAACAATCATGCTTGAGTGGCTACAAAAAGTTGGCAGTGTCCTAAGGGATCTTTTTTCCAACCAAAAGGGTTATTGATAATGGATTCCATGCGTGCTCATTTACTTGAGTCAGTGAAAACCAGATGTCAAAAATTGTTTATGACAGTAGAAATAATTCTTGGTGGTTTGACAAAAATCTTACAACCATTAGATTTGTCAGGTAATAAATCCTTTAAAGCTGAAGTCCGAAAGTGGTGGGAACGTTGGATGAGTGAAGGATTGCTTACGTATACCAAAAGCAGTAAAATGCATAGAGCATCTTATGAAGAAGTTGCAAAGTGGGTAGGAAGTGCATGGAAATCAGTAAAAACATCGTCAATAATAGCAAGGTTCAAAGAAGCTGAAATTATACCCTTAGATAAAGAGACTGTAAACCAAGAGGATGAATGTGACAATATGGAAGACTTGGACTTAGATCAGGATTTACTAAATCTTTATGAATTCAGATTTTGTTGGCTTCATATGATGTATAGTTTGCTGTAATTCCTTTTGTAAGTAAAATTTAAAATTTCCTTTTGTCATAAAAAATTTAATATTTCATTGTTGCAACATTTTTTATAATATAGTCGCTTCTTTAGTGGGTAAATATAAGTATATACGTGAACATAAATATATTTTCAACATTTCTCACCTTTAATTTATTTTTGAGTTATGGTTTCATTTCATGCATTTTTCTTAACTGATATGTCATATATCAGGACTTAGTTTGAGATTTTGCATCTTTACGGCCCACGACGATGTCATGCGCAATTTAATCTATTGCGGCGTTTCTGCGTAATTTTAATTTTTTCCCCGCCATTTTTCTCGAGTGTGGCCTTTCTTCCAGAAATTACGGTAAATGAAAATGATGCAACTGATGTTTACCACTGTGATGGCAACGCCTCAGATGGTAAAATATGTAGTATGGTTTTAAATCCAGAAAATATCACTACCAATAACAAAGAAAATGGAAAACAGATTTTTGAGAAAGAAAGGATTTCAAGTGACAGTTTAATGGGAATTTTCAGCACGACAATTACAGGATTTGCACAATAAAAAAAAAACTTTATAACTGGAAAAGAAATTATGTCTGTTCATAAAATTAAATAGAAAGTATTAGCACGTGCGCGCACACACACACAAAATGAAGTGGGGGAGGCAAGAAAAGAAACACTTACAATGAAAGAAATGTTTAATAAAACAAATAAAATATTATTATTATTATTATTATTATTATTATTATTATTGTAAATTCTGCTTCCCTTAAAGTCATAAATGCTTATATAATATAAAATTTCCCATATATTGTAATAATATCTATAAGTATTATATATTATAATAATATCTATAATATTACATATTGTAATAATATCTATAATAATATATATTGCTATAATATATAGGAATATATAAAATTTCATTCCACCCATTCCAATAACTTGAATGAATGACAAATGAAAAAAAAATTTCCTATTATATCAGATAACAGATTTGTTCTTTGTGACAGAATTCTTAGTTTGAATCTTATATGTGCAATCTATTTCAACTGCATACACACATCTATACATAACTTTATCATATACAATTATTCATAAATATTTTCAATCTATTTTTATAAATTCTTTCCAAAAAAGATAATGTACAATATAAAATAAAATTCGTACAAACTGAATCCTTACAAGAGTAATTATGCAAAATTAAAAAGAAGAGAAAGTTCACCTAATTTATTGTTACTTAAATCCAGATGCAATAAATCAGTGAGGTTCACAAACAGCTGATTAGGCACATTTTCAATTCTAAAAGAGAAAGATTTAATGGATGAGAAAATGAATTACAAAATTTTTAAATATATATACATAGCAATTACAGAATAAACAAATATACTAATTCACTATTCAGATTATTATTCAAATGTACTAATCCACTGTCCAATTTCCATAGATATGAATGTTTATGTTGATATTACACATGAACACATACTGGCAATTCTATAATGTAAACAATAAGAAATATGCTATTATCAACAGACAACTTTACGGTAAAAGCTTAGTTTAGGGTACCCCTTGGCGAAATTTGGCGATTTTTGGTGGTACATGGGTACCGATTTTGTGCAATGCTATGACTCGTTATTTCGGCTTGCGAAGCAGTGATTTTTGCGCCAAAAATCGGCACTACACAAAGCCAAAACAACAAGACAAACAATTGCATAAACTCGGTATCCATGTACACATTGACTTATTTTCACTTAAAGAACCCCCCCCCCCCCCGAATTGCACAAAAATGGCATTGCGCACTCCTTTGACTTTATCCATGTACACGTCGACCTATTTTCACTTAAAAAAAATCCCCGAATTGCACAAAAATGACATTGCGCACTCTTTTAACTTTACTTATGTACACGTCGACCTATTTTCACTTAAAAAAAATCCCAGAATTGCACAAACTTGCATTGCGCACTCCCTTTACTTTGTCCATGTACACATCGATATATTTTCACTTAAAAAGTCAAAGGAGCACCAAAGTCTACAATATAGGCAAACAAAAAAATACATAATCTCAATAAAATACATTTTAAACCAAACAATAAGATAACATAAAAGAGGAAAAACATGTTATACATTTAAGCACTACCAAAAGCATATATTCACTTACCATGATTTTCGAATTCGCTTCGTACACCCAGAGATCAAAATATCAATCATATTCAAATGACTTTTTTCAAACCAGGTACTCTTTCTGATCGAATGCTTCACATAGTGACCATCTGAACCTTTCTTCCTACAAAACCCATTCAAATCCAGCTAAATGGTTTTAACACACACCACAAAAACACTTACAAAAATCCCATGATTCAAAATTTCCCAGAATCATGCACCTGATTACGTCACAATAGGGTTTCCATAACATTCAACTACTCAGGCTACCATAAATGAAACAACAACTTGGCGATAAATCAAACAACAACTTTGCCATAATACAAGGGGTACCTTAAAGTCTACGCTACCCCAACTTTACTTCAGTACAGACATTGATACATACAAATTCAAATATTTGCACATGTTTTAAATGATTTTGCTTCACTATTATAAGAAAATTGTCTTCTTGGCTTTTTTTTTTAACTGCAGCAATATTTTTTAAAGTATAAATTATCGTCTGTTACTTGACAGTTTTGTTTTCATGCAAAATGGACTTTTAAAGAAGTAATGGATCTAAGGCACTGTTCCTGCTCTTTCTGAAGAAAATTATTCATATCCAGTTGTTAACAAACACTGTAAAAGCAATGGTTTTTCGATATCCAAACAGCATAGGTTATAGTGTCAACAAGAAAGGAAAGAAATATCAAAGTTTGGCTTCAAGTGGAAAAACTGTTCCAAATACATATCTAATGAAAAAACAGAATGTTGCAAAGGTATGATCTGTAAAGTCAAAAGAAAATTCACTAAATCAAAGGAGAGTTGCAAAATCATTAAAGTTTTCAGTGCCAACTGTAAACAAAAGGGTTAATGCTTATTTGAATCTTAAAAAGGTGAAAAACCTGATTTGTATTGTCTTGGACAAAAATGAAAAAATGTTGTCACAATAGATTGGTTGGTTGTATTTAAATTACTGCACGAAAAAAGTGATCCATTTATTATCATCAAAGGGAAGGAAAAAATCTGAAAACATGGTTCAAAGAATCTAAAGAAAATGGAGTTACGATTGTTGCTGTTTTTATATATATATATAATGGCAAATTAAAAATAAAGAGAGTAAGAAAAGAATGTTAAGATCAACGCTACATATTTTATACCCAATTTTCAAATATGAAATGCTTTCCCTTTTCCCACAGAGCATTATCAGTAGAACTGCTTCAAGACAAAGCAAGCAGTAACACATCAAAATATAGTGTTCGTTTTCTGGAAAAAAATTTAAATAAGAACAAGGCACACCCTTCATTCATATCCTTACTAAATCTCCTAATGCATGGATGACCATGGACCTCCTGACCCATGGATTTTTGCACTTTTGGACTTTACAAAGGGGATTGTTCAGACATCGAATTACAATCCTCCTTCGGACTTTGAAAAAGCACTTCAGAGGAATGGGATAAAATACTTTTCCCGATACTACAAAAGGCTTTATGGTGTAGAAAGATAGTGAAGAATAAGGGTTATCAAATAGAACATTACACGCACAAAATTTTAGGTTAAATATTTCTGTAAATACAAAGAAAATTGTCTAACAAATGCGTGAACAGCCTCTGTATAAATGCTAGTAATCATGATATTAAAGAATGCATGGCTAAGAAGATTAATGATTAGGAGTAAAAATGTGAAAAAGTGATAATAGAAATGAAGAAAATTAAAATATTTTGATCTGAGACGTAATAAAAGGGTCATATTTGAGTAGATTACATTTTAAGATTCTCTAAAATTTTTATCCATAGCTAGTAATAACTAAATTTTGTTTCATTTATCTCTCCCTATACCGAACTCTTAACACAGAAAACAAGAATGAGATTACCTGAAATACTATAACTACAATAATTTAAAATTTGATATGAATGACTTACGAATTATAACTCAGATTCAAGACTAAGAGCCCTTTTGCATGATCTAAATCACGTGGAACTTCTTTCAGATTATTGTGGCTGAAATCCTAAGAAATAAAAATTATTAGAATGTATTTAAAATGCAAGGCACTTTCCATTATAAATTTACATGTTTTACTCTAATTCCAAGCCTCTACCTCAACACTTGCATATATTTCTAGAAATAAGAATTTTCAATCAAATTTTAATTATGAATTCTTTAGGTAGGTTTTCAATGTTACAAGCTTGGCTGTTAAAAATTCAAAAAGAATTCTCACAATTAGTAAGTACTATCTCTATGTCTCTGCAATTTTTTATTAAAAAAATTAATACATATAAACTTAACATTTGAAAAATATTTCCTTCAAAATATTTCTCATTACTTGAGAATATCAAGAAATACTGTAGGTTATTTTATTTATTTATTTATATTACTTTTACCTGAGCTAAATTCAACACATTGCATATTGTGTTTTAATTCTGCATATGTTCAATTAATAAATATTTTTTGGATTTAACAAGAACTGAAAATTAAACACAACAGTGTTGTAGCAACAAACACAAAAATCGCTTTTCATACATTTCTTCTTCAACACACTAAACAGAATTTCGATTTCCCAGTTATTGCAACCCATACAAATTCTGTATGAAAATATTATCTCATCTAGTTAATATTACTCACTACTAATATGTGATTATCCTTATAATCTCATAAAACTAGCACGTGATATGAAATTTTAAAATATAATTATGCTCTCACTTTTAATGTTCAGAGCATTTTCAACTCAAATAACAATAATTAAAAACTACTATTCAGGCATTCACATATGTATTTAAATTAAAGGCTTTATGTCTATTGCCTATAAGGTACAAAGCATTCAGATGCATGGCTAAAAGATACAGAGCTTAAGGACAATAAAATTGAAAAAAAGCTTTAATTTAGGTACCCAGTTAGATTTAAACTTTCAATCTACATAATTACAACTTCACTGTGGCTAATAAATCATTAATGCTAATTCAGAAGTCAAACAACAAAAATCAGCGTTATACCTACAAAATTTTCACAGGACTAGTTTCGATGGTTTTACCGAACCATCATCTTCAGCTGCAAAACCGCAAATGAACAAGATAGGAAATAATGATTAGATAAGATAAGAAAGCCTGGACAAGAATAAGCAAGTGGCGCCATCTGTTGGCGAAACCAGAACTAAAACATAATTTCTCTAAAAGCCGAAGGCAAATTTGGATTGGAATTAGGATCGTTAACTAGAACAGAAAGATTTTTATGAATGTGAAATGCCTCTAGAAAATCCAGTTCTCCAATGGAAGATGTTTTTTGAAATTTTGGCAGCAGAAAAATTGAAAGTGTGATTTTCGGACCAACAATGTTGAGCAACAGAAGACTTCTGTGTTTCCTTTTTCTAACATATGCCTCATGTTCTTTGACGCGAAATTTTAAGGCTCTCTTAGTTTGGCCAATGTAAATTAAACCACACTGGCAAGGAATCCTATAAATACCCCAGGAATTCATATCCGGAATGGGGTCCTTGAGTATAGAAGTTGGAATTTTATTGATGGGAGAATAAACAACCCCAAAAGTTAAATTTCTGCAAAATATGTGCAACTTTATAGCTAATTGATGGAAAGAAGGGAATGACAACAAAATTTTTATAATCTAAAAGAAGAGTGTGCCTTTTAGTGTGTTCAGATGAGAATTTTTTAACTGCTTGATTAATAATGTTGGGTGAAAAGCCCCTGTCAATAGCTATTGCTTTTAAATAATTTAGTTCTTCATCAAGGGCTAGTTTGGAGGAGCAAACTTGAAGAGCACGGAAAACATAGGAATAAAATGAAGCTAACTTTTGTTTAGTCGGATGACATGATTTAAAGTGTGGTGGAAGGCAAACCGATGAAGTTTTACGGTAAACTGTAGTACTGAAGTTGGATGTGTTACGTGTGACCAGAATGTCGAGAAACGGAAGAAAATTGCATATCTCAAGTTCAAAAGTGAACTGAATAGCAGGATCAATAGAATTCATTGTTGAAAGAACTTTATTTAAATCATCTTTATTACCTTCAAACAGAGTAAAAGTATCGTCTACGTAGCGGAACCATGCCAGGATGGGACTGAGGGGGCTGATATCTACATACATTATTATGAATCAAAATTGTGTGAAACTTTAAACTTCCCGGCATGGTTCCGCTACGTAGATGATACTTTTACTCTGTTTGAAGGTAATAAAGATGATTTAAATAAAGTTCTTTCAACAATGAATTCTATTGATCCTGCTATTCAGTTCACTTTTGAACTTGAGATATGCAATTTTCTTCCGTTTCTCGACATTCTGGTCACACGTAACACATCCAACTTCAGTACTACAGTTTACCGTAAAACTTCATCGGTTTGCCTTCCACCACACTTTAAATCATGTCATCCGACTAAACAAAAGTTAGCTTCATTTTTATTCCTATGTTTTCCGTGCTCTTCAAGTTTGCTCCTCCAAACTAGCCCTTGATGAAGAACTAAATTATTTAAAAGCAATAGCTATTGACAGGGGCTTTTCACCCAACATTATTAATCAAGCAGTTAAAAAAATTCTCATCTGAACACACTAAAAGGCACACTCTTCTTTTAGATTATAAAAATTCTGTTGTCATTCCCTTCTTCCATCAATTAGCTATAAAGTTGCACATATTTTGCAGAAATTTAACTTTTGGGGTTGTTATTCTCCCATCAATAAAATTCCAACTTTTATACTCAAGGACCCCATTCCGGATTATGAATTCCTGGGGTATTTATAGGATCCTTGCCAGTGTGGTTTAATTTACATTGGCCAACTAAGAGAGCCTTAAATTTCGCGTCAAAGAACATGAGGCATATGTTAGAAAAAAGGAAAACACAGAAGTCTTCCGTTGCTCAACATTGTTGGTCCGAAAATCACACTTTCAATTTTCTGCTGCCAAAATTATTCAAAAAACATCTTCCATTGGAGAACTGGATTTTCTAGAGGCATTCACATTCATAAAAATCTTTCTGTTCTAGTTAACGATCCTAATTCCAATCCAAATTTGCCTTCGGGCTTTTAGAGAAATTAGTTTTAGTTCTGGTTCGCCAACAGATGGCGCCACTTGCTTATTTGTCCAGGCTTTCTTATCTAATCATATTTCCTATCTTGTTCATTTGCGGTTTTGCAGCTGAAGATGATGGTTCAGTAAAACCATCGAAACTAGTCCTGTGAAAATTTTGTAGGTATAACGCTGATTTTTGTTGTTTGACTTCTGAATTAGTATTTATTCGGCGTGTTATTGTGTCTTAAATCATTAATGGCTTAAAATAAAATTATTTTTTACAATGCAATTCATCTCATTCTTCCTGAAAATCAGTAGGCTGAAATTGAATTCGTTAATCAGTTTTCTAAATTAAATACATTTTAATGCTAACAGCATACTATTATTAAATGCACCAATGAAAAAAATTTAACACAAAGAAGATGAAAATCAATACTTACACTATATCAGATTTTCAAGATAATATCGGCAATAATCTATGACATATTACCTAATAGAGGTTTTTGTTCAATGTTGTAAAAGAGATTTATATGAAAACTTCATTTAATTGCACAATAAATTAATTTAATGCATTACATTTCACAAAAATGATATTAACTGGCCAAGAAAAGGAAACATATGTTCAAGATGCAAAATATGGGAGATTATTGAAATAATAATTACCACAACAACTAGATCTTCAAGATCAAAAATATTGGTTGGAATACCAGAATTCTTCAATTTGTTATAGCGGCAATTTACATATCGAAGGCAAGGTAATGTTGGCACTTCCCCATGAATGGTAACCAAATTGTTACGGACTAAAGACAATGCTTCCTACAGAAAGAAAAAGAAATATATGTGAAACATGGAATAATTATCTTAAAACTATATGATCACAGTTGAAAATTGACAATACATGTATAAACTGATGTATGTATGAAGTGATTGTGACTCCACTTCAAAAATCACAAAAGCTAGCATATACTTAAAAAAAAAAAAAATCCGACATACTTTCAAATAATTCATAATAATAATATGTTATGTATGTATGCATGTAAGTTCTGGAAATTGTTATGTTTCAAATTTTTCTTTGCTAACAAAAGTTGTACAGTCAAAAGTCGTTAATTCGGACACCCATAATCTGGAAATGATCTAAATCCGGACCTCAAAGCTACAAACTTTCTGCGCATGCGTCGCTTGCATTGTGCGCGTGCCCAAAATACGTTTACGAAGGCACGTTTAATGTATAACGGACGGTATAAGCTATGCTAAAATTATCTAATTATCTATTTCAGTTAATGTTGCAGATTGCGTTGTTCCTTAATCTTCGAATTGGATCCGGCTTATTATTTTTTGCAGACTGTTAGAGCAAATTTTATAAAAGTAAACTTGAACTTTCGATTATGTCAAATAGAATTTTTGATATATATTTATTAATACGTAAAAGATCTACAAAGCGAAAGTATGTTTCGGAGTCCATTAAGAAAAAGTGGAATTGCTGCAAAAAATGGATAAAGGCATATCCTTTGTTTATCTTTAATGCTGCGGCACGCAATGAATTGGAAGTTGATCTGTCAGCACTATCCTTATCTTCCGGGCAGATGTTTTTATTTTATTTGGCTTATAATTGCTTACTAAATGTAGTATTTCATCTCGATGTACTCCGTCTTTGATATGATTTAAATCAAATGCCTCGTCATTATAATTCACTTCCGATAGTGAAGAAAGTGACAGAGGTTATTGAAAATGAAAAAATTTCAATTGACAAATTAGTCGGTATTCTCGACACAGCAATTATAGGACTTGAACAGCGGAACTTTGTAACTGAACAAGAAATTATGTCTGTTTATAGAATTAAAGAGAATGTATTATCATATAAAAAACGAAGCAATTTAAGCAACTTACATTGAAAGAAATTTTTAATAAAGTAAGCAAATAAAAAGTTAAGTTTTTTTTTTTTTTTTTTTTTTTTTTTTTTTGTAAATTTGATACCCTTTAGATCATAATTGTTCTTTATTTCGTAAATTACGGTTTTCATATTTTAATTTTATAATTTCTTCTGCATGCCATTTTACCAGATTTAAACTGATGATCTATAATCCGAAAAAATCGATAATCCGGAATCGCCGAAGTCCCGACGAGTCCGGATTAACGACTTTTGACTGTAGTATGAGCAGCAAGACATTTTGATGCAGACAATGACTTTTTACTTCATTTTTCAACTATTACATTCCGCATTGCCATAAAATGTACACAGAAATTTATCGCTATTTTATTACCAAGAAAATGAATCATCATGTTAGGTTAATTCCATATGGCAAAGCATACGAGGACTATAAAAGAAAAAATATCTTTGTGGAGGACCTTTTTTAAATGTTGGAGATAAAAAAGTGCTAGAAGGAAGAGAATGTCGAGGAATATGAAGAAAGCGATTTAGCTGTACAATAAATGATTGATAAAATATTTAAAAATAAGGCTTTGAGAATTATTTCTGATTATCCAACCCCACCCCTCTCCACTGAAAAGCGTTCTCAAGCCAATGACATACTATATGCCAAAATAGGTAATCCATGACATAGTCAAAATGTATTTATGAGGCAATCCAGGTATGCATGCTTGCACACCAGATGAGAGCTGACTTCAACCTTCAAATTCAACAGTCATTTTACTAATCAGTGTTTGTTTTTGTTGGATTTGAGTACGCTTTTTTTTTTTTTTTTTTCCTGGTAAGGAATCATAATGGAACAGTAGAATTTGCTGTTTGATGGAAAAAAAGTGCTGCATTTCCTCAGTAAATTTACAGAACTATTTTTAAGTTTTGTTACTCTTACAGTACATAATGTGAAAATATTTATAATTTTTATAACATTACTTTCTATGTCCAGGAGTAGAGAATCACATGCTGTTTGCATTAAATTGTGTACAATGTGAGCTGAACAAACAAATCCTAAAATAGTTCTATATAAATCACTTTGAATTTTAATGCATTTTCATTCCCATTTCTTTTCACTACACCAAAATTAGTGTTATCAGTAGTATAACAAATCAACTTTTCTTTATGTTTGTATTTTTGGTACTATTCGGTTTCGAGGGCCGTAAAAAAATTGCAGCGAAAATGTAAGCGCAAAAGCGCCAAATCTAGCAAACGCGCCCATTTAACAACTCGCCAAATCTAACGTACGCGCTGATTTCAGATTACATAAGTTTATACAGATCTATATTTCTTAAGACACCATTGAAATACTAGTTTAATTTTTTAATCTTTTTTTGATTTTAAATCCTTTTTTGATATTCCATGGATTTAACAATTTGGGAATAGCCCATGACGAAAACTCGGCAATAGAATTTTGGGTAAAGTGCAGAATCAACCATTGCTTGACGCGTTTTTAAGAATTGCACATACTCGGTATCCATGTGCACATCGACCTATTTTCGCTTAAAAAATATCCTAGAATTGCACAAAAATGCAACTGGGCAAACCCTTGACTTTATCTATGTACACATCGACCTATTTTCACTTAAAAAGTAAAAGAAAATTGACATAAATCCAATTGTTTTTACCCTTGTAAAAAGCGGCAATCAAATAAGTGAGCGATTCTGCACTTTACCGAGAATATTTTCAAAGAAAAGACATCATTCATTATAGAAAATTACGTTTAAACAACCAACGATAGTATGTCGGTAGCGAAATAGCGATGCAGGCATCCATTCAGTTATGTTTAGAAATTTTTATATAAATTATAATAATGATCTGAAATAGTTATTTACTCTTATGCTTCCATTCACTTATGTTTAGCTTTTTTCATATAAATTATAATAATAATAAAGTATTATATGAAGTTAATGTTTCATCTAAATTAAAACATCAATCTTAAATAGTTCTTTACTGTTATACTTCCTTTCTTGCCGCATTTATTAAGGTTGCCGCAATTATTTTTGGCAGCATTGGCATCAACAATAGTTTGGCGATTTTCTAAGGCCCTCGAAACCGAATAGTACCGTATTTTTTTACAAACTGCAAAAAATACTGCGTCAAAATTTGAGCATTTTTACCTCACACTTCATTGAAATTTAAAAAATTTAACTTGAATTCCCTACTCCAGACTAAAATACAACAATTGTAACAAGTTTTACTTCACTTCTGTTTGAGCTATCTATGTTTCAGTTTCACATTTAATGCTTTCCAAAGAATGCAACACATTATCAAATATAAATGATGAAATAATGTTAACAATAACTGCCTCGCATTTATTTCTAAAAGCTGAAAATTTTGAATCATGTAACTTTTTAACCAGTTTAGATGTGCATTCTGGTGTTTCGAAACTGAGTTCATGTCTAGCAGTCTGGGTATGAAAATGCAGCTTCTTCAGCAGCATGCTCCAGATCACTGGTATTGTTATTCCCATCTTTGACTTTAAAAAAATCTTATGTTTGCTGAAGCAGTAATATTAATAGCACTCCTATGTTCAGCTGTTTTTACGTGGTTACCATATCATCCTTTCCTTTAGTACAATAGAAAATTCTCCAGTACACTGTGTGGAAATAAACACATTCATCTTTATTGCCATTAAACAATTAAAAAAATTTGTGTTCCTGTTGCAGGTTACCATTAACACACATTTTCTTTTGCCCATTGCTACATGAGGGGACAAAAATTGAACAGAGATAAAATGATCAAAAACCTGTAGATGAGTTATTTCACACACAAAAACAACATAAACACATTGCCTCTGCTGTATTGCCAAATAACTAAGTAAAAAGTTGTGCCGAGACCAGCAGCCATGCCCCCATCAAAATTAACAAGAGCACTTGCTCCAAGGTTGGGTGAGAGATGCACGGCCCATAAGAGAATGTCTACAAATGTAATGTTGAACATATAGGTCTAAAATTTAAAAAAAAAAAAAAAAAAAAAAAAAATTTAGCTGGTCATAAAATTCTCAAACCCTGGACAACACTAAAAAACCAGTTATTGTCTGGCTAATCCCGGATGTACAGTGGTGGCCAAAATTGTGGACACTTTTGGAATTTTTATGTTTTTGAATTTTGTATGCTTATAGAAAACGTTACGTTTTACAAAATGCAAACTATATATCATTTTAAAGAGAATTTTTACTGAATTCAATACAAACACAAAATTCAAATTATTTGCAATAAAAAAAAGTTTAAACGATAATAGTTATCGATATACTTAGATAGTGATGATTGCAGTGAGTTATCAGTACTTAGTAGGGTACCCCTTATTTTTGATTACAAGCTTCACATCGACATTTTGAGCTAAAAAGAGTTTTAAGCTCTTCTTTCGTTATTACATGATGCCAGGAAACAATTATAGCCTTAATTAATTCCCTTTTATTTGATGGGCGCCTCATTCGGACAAGAGTTTTCAAACGGTGCCACAATTTCGATAGGATTGAGGTCAGGACTGTTTCCTGGCCATGACAACAATTTAATGCTCTTTGCACGAAACCACTCTTTCGATATTTTGGCTGTGTGGCAAGGAGCAGAATCCTGCTGAAAAATAAATGAAGCATTGTTAGGAAAGAGATCTCTGATGGAAGGTAGAAGTTTTGGTTCTAGAATAGTGTCAATGTATTTTCTGGCATTCAGTGTCCCATCGATGACATGAAGGCGACCAATATCATCTGCTGACATGCATGACCAAATCATAACACTAACTGAGTTCTTCACAGTTGCTTGAATGCAGTCAGGATGTTGCTCTTCTCCTATTCTACGTCTTACATATTTTCGCCCATCACTACCGAATAACAATATCTTAGTTTCATCACTCCATATAACTTGTGACCACAGATCATCTGTCCAATTAATGTGTTCCTTTGCCCACTGTAGTCTTTTTTTTTTTTTTTTTTTCGTTGCTGAAAATTAAGATAAGGCTTTTTTCGTGGAATTCTACCTCTCAGTCCAACATCTGTTAATCTTCTCCTGATTGTTCTTGAACTGACAGAAACACCAGCATCATTCAGATCACTTCTGATGGCCGCTGATGACATTTTTCTATCTTGGAGACATAGTCTTTTTATTCTTCTGTCATCAATAGATGTGGTGCATCTTTTCCAGCCTTTTCCTTCTTTGTTTTTTATAGAATTTGTCTCCTGATATCGTAAACAAAACTTTCGGACTCCAGATGTAGTCACTGAACCACCAACCTGTCTTGCAATTTCAGCATAGGAAAGACCACTTTATCGTAACACAATAATATTACATCTCTTTCTAGGCGTCCAAGTTACTCTTTTATTTGATGTCATTGCTTCTTGACTAAATATTCAAAATTTTTACAAAAATTCCTACTTGTAATTGCAGTGTATAAGAAACAGGTCCTCCTTCTACAGATATATTTATTATGCTTAGTGCAGAAGAAAACAAGAAACAAGAACAAAAACAGACGATCATCATCAAAAAGAAGGTGTTCGAAACGTATCTTGAACATGGTATCGGTAGGGGAGGTGCGGTGTATTGGTCACCAATATTGCCAGACCTCACTTGCACTGACTTCTTCCTCTGGGAGTACATCAACATACTAGTGTATGAAACTCCCATTAAAAGAGCTCAAGAATTTGTTGCATGCATAGTGGCAGTTGTTGGGGAAGTCTGGAACATGCCCAATATTTTTCAGAACATCACATCTTCCAATGTGCTGGAGATGTGAGGCCTGCATCAGGGTCCAACATCACATTTTCGAACACCTTCTTTGACGACGATCACTATCTCTCTTTGTTCTTATTTCTTGATTTCTGCTGTACTAAGCATAATATACATGTTCCTCCCCTTGTTCTTCTTTTCTTGTGTTTTGTATTGTCACAACTGTGCTAGGAAAGCCTTTTCAACCTATGTGATTTTCCATCATCTAAGTGTACTCTATCTCTCCTGAAAGTTTGTAACTGATTAGCTGAAACACCCTGTATATGTTAGTTTTTATTTTAAATTTCAAAAATATGAAGTTGTTAATATTTGATTACTAAAATTCATATAACTGAAATATTAATTTTTATGTTTGTAAAGCAAAATATTTCATATAGGTAAGAATACTTTTGATCCAGAAAGCATGCATATTTCAATAATTATTTCATTTTGATTTTTTATCACAGATATCAAAATTCAGTTTTAAAGTAAGGAAAAGATTAATTTTTATCAACAAGGAAATGCTGTTGCAGCAATAAATGTTGTATTAAATGATATCAAATTGTACTAAACATCAGAAATTTTGTCTTACATTTTCTGTTGTTTGTATCAAGAAAATATCCAAAATATCCCTCCTCTTCTTCATGCAAAAATACAACTCTAAACTTATCCTTACAGTAAAACAAAAGAAAAATTAAACAGTTTTTGTTATAGTGACGATAAAAACCATTCAATACTTACCTACCAATAAAACCACCTTAGATGCCAGATTTTCAAAATGTATCAGACTCTAGAAAACATCTGCATAACAATATAGTCACTTTTATATGTCCTTTTTTGTTATACTCTTGACTTTTATAAACAAATCTCGACATTTTTTGCTTTAAACTCAATCAGTATGTGATCCTAATGCAAATTTCTGCAGGAATAGAGCATTTTGCCATAAAATCACTTAAGGCAATAAATGCTCTGAATACATTATTGGATCAATCACTATGCAATTTATGCCAGGACAAAAGGCACAAAAATCCATAGATAAAAAAAATAATTAATTGAGTATACATGAAAGAAACATTCTTTTGCAATTATCAAGCATCATTCTTTTCTGATATATATATATATATATAAAAAAAAAAAAAAAAAAAAAAAAAAAAAAAAAACCCACCAAACTGCACCAAGATAGTTACGTTAATACACATTATAAATTATTCTTACCAGCTTCTGCAAATTACTCAATTCATCAGGGATCCAGTCAATATTTGTTTTATTCAATTTCAGCCATCTTAGACCAGTCATTTCAGCCACAGCTTTAGGAAAATAATCTTCCTAAGGGAAAAAAAAAATAGCAATTATTACTTCCGTATAGAGGCTGGATAGAAATTTATTGTAAAATTTCCATAGTCTGCAAATTATGATATTAAGAAATAGACAGATATAGATCATGCTTTTATGAGTTTTGTTTAAATTTTGTTCTCTTTAATTTTTGCATTAAATTTGGACTGTCTGCACATAAATGTGATCATATATCAAGAATTATTTGATCAAGATTTATTTACTGCAAAATTATTATACCTTTTACAAAGTAAATGACGTGATGACACGGGAAAAATATAGAAAACAGCTCAGAAAGAAAATGATACATGATAGGGAAGTTTTTTGAAGAGATAAAAAAACAATTTCGTACAAATGCCTTGAAATTTTTACATAAAAAAACTGTATATCCACCAGCCAAATTACTTTCAAACTGATTTTTAAAAGTCTTAAATAAAATAATAAATAAATAAATGAGCTGCTTACAAAAATTACAGTAATGAGATTTTCTTTAAAATTAAATCTGAATGCTAATATAGCTATAACATTTTAAACATGTGCAATTAGATATAAGCAACATACAAATGCTAGATCTAACTTTTTTCATTTATTAAAACAAATTTCTTTGTTATTTTATCATTTTTAATTACCCCCCCCCCAAAAAAAAAATCTTTTCAACTGTACTGAGGTCTGCATGAGTAGAGCAATTTATGCCAGCAGAACACTTGTCAGTTGTTCAACAGCTCTCTACCAGCACCTCAATATGTGTCATTTTCAAACACACATTAAAACTCTTAAAAGTACAAAAAGAATTTGTAAATTATATATATATACTTTATTTTTTGGATATATGCTATGTATTTTTTAAACTTATCCAAAAATTATTTTTAACAAAAATACAATACAGATATATATACAAATTATATATAATTTTGTAGATGATCCCAATTACTACTTAATCATGGTTGAGATGGTTATAGATGTTGCTAGCGTACAAATAGGATGCATAATAGACGGAGGGAATTTGGAGACCAAAGGTAGCTGATATTCTCCATATAATTTTATTTCTTGATGAATAATTTCTTTCTACACATCACTATGGTTGCGATAATCAACTCGCAGTTTTAAATAACTTTTATTAAAATGATACAGCAAAGCAAACAAGACACATGCTAGAAGGCAGAGAGAGTAAAAAAGTAACTGCACATTTCAGCAAAGGGGTATTTATAAGAGTTGAAATCTTTTTAAATCTTGAGCTCTGTGACTGGACAAGAAGCATTCACAATGCAGAAAGATAAGGTGACATAATGTGGATTAGTTTTCAGATAAAGACACAGTTTATATTTCAGCAAGGAGACATAGCCAAATTATTAATAGAGTTTCATTCAAATTATTAATCGAGTTTCATATATTTTTTATCAATCTTACATATTTATATGTACAGCAGTACATCCGAAGTCCGACATCTGCCCTCATCAGAACTTCAATGATTTATATCATCAGTTTAAGGGGAAAGTGCAGAGTCACCCACTGCTTCGTGCGTTTCTCAAAATCGCCAACTTAAAAATAACAAGTCAAGGAATTGCACAAACACATTATCCATGTATACATCGACCTATTTTCACTTAAAAAAAAAAAAAAAATCTGAGAATTTTTACAAACTTGTCATTGCACACTCCCTTGACTTTGTCAATGTACACATCGATATGCGCCATATAAGTGGGTGATTCTGCATGAACTTGAAAATAACAAGTCAAAGAATTGCACAAATTTGGTATCCATGTACACATTGACCTATTTTTACTTAAAAAAAATCATCAGAGAATTGTACAAAGTTGGCACTGCTCACTGCCTTGTCTCGATATGCGGCATATAAGTGGGCAATTCTGCACTTTACCGTGATTTAAATATAGTACATTTATATGTAAACTTATAATAAAAATATGAAATAATGAAGCATTTGTGACAACATTTATTTCAATGTAAGTTGTTTCATTTTTGGTTCTAATAATTTCTCTTTAATAAACAGATATAATTTCTTATTTAATTAGAATGTTCCATTGCTCAAATACTGCAGCTGCCGTGCCAAATATTCTGACTAAATTGTCAAATGATTTTTTTTTTTTTTCCCAGGAAGTCAACAACTTTGTCACTTTCCCCACTACCAGTAGTGATATATTCTGGATTTGGAACCATACTACCAGGGGCGTAGCTAGCAGGGGGGCAAGGGGGGCATCTATCCCCGAGCGCAAAATCCAAGGGGTGCCAAACTGATGTTACGACATTTTAGAGTTAAATGTTTTCCATCCTTGGCAAGCAGTGTGGGGTGCGAAATATTCAGTTGTCCCAGGGCGCTGAAAACCCTAGCTACGACTCTGTATACTACAGATTATGCTGTCTCTCAGTTGATTGATCATTGGTGCATTGTGATCGCAAAGGAAAACTTCTAAATATCATCTTCATTTATTACTTACTCTCCATAAATTCCATTAGTTAGAAAATAAGCTTTTTTTGTGATATCCGAAACATAAATTTGTGGCTATCATCATAACGCTTAGCTAAGATTCACTATACATTATTAGCAATGCATTATGAGATTGTTGAATAGACATGCTGCTGTTCTTGCTTCTAGTGCTGAGGAACTTAAGTATAGCAATTTATTTTATTTATCACATTTAATGCCTATTTTTCCCAAATGCAGAGTCCTGAATAAATAAATTTCTATATATTCTTAATGCTTAGCTCCAGATCTTTTGGCTGATAAATATTATTACAAAATATATTATTTGCAAATGGAAAACACAAAGAAATTTGTGTTAAATTTCTCCTTGTCAAAACACTTATATTTCGAGTTGCAGTTGGTTGAAGTCTATAATCTTCGCCAAGAATAATATCAACATGAAAAATTACCATGCGGTTTGGTATTCATTAACTAATATTTAAAAAAATTCCTTTAGGCATCACTGCATGATTTATCTCTCAAGCTTCCACGAGTTGATAGTTATATGAGAAAGAATTCACAAAATATTGGATGCGCAAATAAGTTTTGAGCATTTTCTTTTTTTTTTTTTATATATAACTTTGAAGCTTTATTCAGAGAAATTGAAAGAATATTATCCATCGCTAGCTACGACTTTTCCTTATCTTTTAGGTAGCATACAGATTCTGCATTTAAAAAATTCCTCGTCTTTTGAGGCGATCCAAGAACCGACCCAATTTTTGACTTCTTCGTATGAAGTGAATTGTTGCTTGGCAAAGTCATGAGTCATCGACCGTAACAAGTGGAATTCAGAAGGAGCAATGTCTGGTGAATACAGCGGGTGGGGTAGGTCATCCCATTGAAGTGCCTCCAAAGTTTCCTTGACGACTTTTGCAGCATGTGGGCTAGCATTGTCATGCTGAAAGATCATTTTGTCATATCTTTTGGCATACTGGGGGCTTTTGAGCTTCAAGCTCAGTTCAGTTGCATCAACTGTTGTTTGAAATGTTCCCCAGTGATGGTTTCGTAAGGCTAGATTAGCTCATAATAGATCACTTGGTGCTGATCCCACCAGATGCACAGCATTAGCTTCTTGCCGTGAATTCGTTTTGGTCGTTGAAGTTTTGATGCATGGCCGGTTTATTGCACGATTTTCTCTGCTTTGGGTTGTGGTAGTAGATCCATTTTTCATTCCCCATTATGATTCGATGCAAAACCCCTCCCAATTTTGCCTTTGGAACAACCATTCACACGTAAAAAAAACAGCATTTGACATGTCTTGGCCTTGAGTTCGTACGGAACCAAATTTCCTTGTTTTTGCATTATACCCATAGCCTTGAGACACTTTGAAATTGGCCTTGAGTCACTCCCAATGTTTTGGCAAACTCCTCTTCCAGTTCGGCATGAATCCTGGTTCAATAACCCTTCCAACTCGGCGTTTTCAAACTTTACTGGTCACATGTTTTTATTGACGAAGCATGTTCCTCATATGCTCCATCAATAAAAACACAGCAGTCAATGTCCATCAGCTGCACTTTTCTTCAAATTAAAATGAAAAATAAGCGTTTTCCGTAAATTTTGTTTTGTTGGTACAAAGGTTAACATGAGAGGAGCACATAGAAAGTCTGTTGTTTATACTTCAGCGAAATGAAGCAGACTGATTTTAGATGGAACTGCTGGCAGTTTAACATGTATAAAGTTACAAGATTGTCCGATAGGATTCAATACTAGTAACACCATCGTCTTGTGTAAATACCTCGAAACTTATATATACACCCAATAATAAAAAATTATTCATGAAGTTGGTATCAAGGTTATAGGTTATTTAATAAGTGCACAATCGGTGATGAACTTTCATATAATGTTTTGGTTTGAAATATGCCAAGCAAAAAGGAGATAATGGAGCCAAATGGAAGAAACTGAGGCAAAATTTCTGCAGAAATGTAAAATTTTAAAGTAAAATTTCTTAAGGGAAAAATGAGAAAATGAATTTGATAGATATCTAGTGCTATCTGGGTTTGTGCAATGCCGAATTTCTGATATTCTCAAAATTTTTGTTTTGAGCAAAACAGATTGTGAACTTTAGGAAGAACAGTGCTATTAAATTACAGAAAAATTTAGAGAAGAATGAAAGTGTTTTAGTTTTTTAATGAATCGCATAATCCTTATTTAAAATTATTAACATTTGGGTAAATGTTTACAATTGGGTGCCCCTTGTTTATTGGCGATTCTTTTTTGACGCCAAGATCGGCGTCAGGAAGGCACAATTTCAAGATGGCCGCTACACAAAACAAAAATAAGAAGTCAAAGAACTGCATAAGATCTGTGTCCATGTACACATCGATCTGTTTTTACTTACGAAAACATCCTAGAATTACACAAACTAGGCTTTGTGCACTGCTTTAAATATGTTCATGTAAACATCAATCTATAAATAAAATCGGGAAGCTAAAACAAAGTTAAAACTATCGTGGTGACCAGAAGTGAGGTTTCATCGCCAAAATTTTTAAAACTTTGTCGCCAATCGAAGGGGCACCCAATTCTACACTAGAGCAAGTATTTGTATTTTAAATTACTAGTAAGTTTCTTTTTCACAGATTGATAATGTTTGCTGATTTACAATAACTGAGAATCTTTTTAGAAAAAGTCATGAAAACCATCAACTTTCTAAATGAGGTACAAATTAATTTTGGGGGCTTGTTTGATTTTTTTTTTTTTTTTTTTTTATTGGATAAATCTTCAAATCCTTGGTTTTAGCTTGAAAATGATCCAAACTTGAGTGCATTTTCCATTGTTTCATAATTTCAAAGATAGTTTAACACTTTGAAGCTATGACTGCTTTGGATATTTTGAATAATTTTACGATTTTTAAAAATAATGAAATTTCTAAAAGAACCTGACATTAATTTCTATTGTCTTGCCACAGTCACTTCAAATATGAAATCATTAATATATTTAGCTAAAAAAGTAATAATTTCTAAATACAGATGATAAATCTTGTTATTTTTTCATTTAAAACCATGACAAGAAATAAAATTTCCAAATTATTGATTAACACTTTTTGAATAAATTATTTTATGAGGAATATTTTAATGTCATCGATTTGCAATAAGGAATGCTTAAAGTAGGGAAAAAATAAGTAGTCTATGCTCTAGTATTTAGTAGAATATCTACGTAAACAAATTCAATAATATAAGTGTCCGAAACCAAATGTTAGCGACTGAACATCGCCTAATTATTCACCGGCTAGATTTTAGATACTACATAGAATAAAAAGTATGAATATTTTTATTCTATGTTGCGTCTAGAAATGTTCTATGTTGTGTCCAAAAAAATCATGATTCTCAGAAATTTTATATCCTACCCAAAATAAAAATACTGACTTCTAATTACATATAATTTAAATTCCAATCATAGAGTATTTCGACGATCTAACTGATCACACTTCATTAAATAACTATAATTCCAAGAATGTCTTCGGCAAATTTACAGCATAACCTATCAGCTTCAGCAAGATTTCAATTAACAGTTCGTTCTGAAATTGTAATTGCTAACCCAATTTTCTTGGATATTCAAAACCTTTACCATAAAAGGTTAAAATAAAAGATATTATGTCTTATACATTTGAAGAAATATAATATATATATTTAATAGAAATGTAAAAGGTGTATTAGATTTCGGATTATGAACATTTGTCTCACGAAGCCTTTTATGTTGTACCTGAAAATCATTTCCAGAAAAATCAATTCCTCGCACGAACGGTAACACACCAGTCACAGCCATCTTTCTGTGGTTACAAATTCTCCAACGGTCAGAGCTAAATCCCCGAACGCGCAGGGAGGTCACGTGATCGTCGCTTCATGCGTAAGCCGACGTCACAACGAAGCTCCGCCCAGCATCAACAACTTCCTTCGATGTAAACATGGTTCGAAACTTTGATTCGGAAATCTGAAATAAGTCTATGGATATCCGTGAAAAATGTATGTTTGAACGATTTCGAGCATTATACAACTGAATGGCTTCTCCGTATTTCACCGTATAAGAAAGCGGCACAGCTTTAGTATTAGTCCTTTTTGGCGAGAAATTTGTTTGGCGACATTTTGGAGCGATAAATGAAAAATTATGATAACCTTTGTCATCCTAAATACTGAGCTTCAAACATGCCGCCATTTCTGTCCACGTAACTTTAACGAATTTGATAGGTATCAGAGCTTTGATGGCAGGAGGGATAAATTGTGTGTTTCTCTTAAAGTTACTTTTGTGTTAGGAATGCACAACATTTAAAATATTTTTTAAAAGGGCCAAATTTCTGATAGTTAAAACTGGTGCTTTTAATATAACATCACATGAGTCTTGACATTTTTTCATATCTCAACTCTGCATATTATTATAAACTCTTATATAAAAAATGTAGTGCACGTAAAATAATCTTCATTAAGATATTCTAGTATCAGATATTTTTAATCTTATATTTACATGATACGGTTGCTTTGTCAAGTTCAACGATTAAGCTAAACTTAGCAAAACTAGGCAAGATAACCTCACAGTAAGATTAATAATTTAATTCACAATGGAACTGTGTTTGAATAAAAAATATATATATACATTCAAAAGTCGTTAATTCGGACACCCATAATCCGGAATGATCTATAATTCGGACTTCAAAGCTAAAATCTGCGCATGCGCCGCGTTGACGCAAGCCCATAGGCGTTTTACGCGCGCGCGCAAGACATTTACTACTGCGCATATGCGTCTGTGCAAGCGCAGAATACGTTTTCGCGTGCGCGTTTAATGTATAACGGACGGTATAAGCTAAAATTATCTAATTATCTATTTCAGTTAATGTGATGATTGCGTTGTTCCTTAATCTTCGAATTGGATCCGGCTTATTATTTTTGCAGACTGTAAGAGCAATTTTATAAAAGTAACCTTGAACTTTCGATTATGTCAAATAGAATTTCCGATGCTGAAGCTCCCAAAGGATCTAGAAAACGAAAGTATGTTTCGATGTCCATCAAACAAAAAACGAATTGCTGCAAAAAAGGGATAAAGGTATATCCTTTGTTTATCTAACCGTTCGGAAATCTGTTTATCAATTTCACACTGCTCTGCGCGGGGGGGGACGTCGAGGCTCAAAATGAACAGGAAGTTGATCTGTCAGCACTATCGTTACCTTCAGGGCAAGAGTTTTTATTTTATTCGGCTTAAATTCTTTACTAATGTAGTATTTAATCTCCATGTACTCCGTCTTTGATATATTTAAATCAATTCCTCGTCATTATAAATATAACGAATACAATCAATCCTTTTCTGGTTGCAATTTCTAATTTCGGCTGCGTAAGGTTGTTTTACGCATGCGCGCGTTGAAAGAAATGTTTAATAAAGTAAAAATAATATTAAGCTTCTTTTTGTTAATTTTGATACCCTTTAGATCATGCTCATTATTTTATAATTACGGTTTCATATTTTTAATTTATTTTCTGCATGCCATCTTACCAGATTTAAAAACTGATGATCTATATCCGGAAAATCGATAATCCGGAATCGCCGAAGTCCCGACGATCCGGATTAAAGACTTTGACTGTATAAACAGTTATCTGTTATTTTGTAACCAGACCTTAAAAATAGATTCTAAGTTTTTGAAAATGCCATTCAACTGCTTTCTATATATTGCTATTTTTTCTCAGGTCACACATCATTCATCATCATGGCAAACTTGTGAATAAAATTTATGTAGTGCTACTAAAACATTGTGTGTTTATTGGATTTATGATGCTTGCATAAAAGATATTTGC